CACCTCTCCGAGGAGATCTTGGGGAGAAAAAGGAAAAAAAAAAAAAGGAAGGAAAGAAGGGAAGAGTCGCTGCTTTTTAAGCAATGGACAGGAAAGGGAATTGAGTCCAAGGCGTGCCTGGGGGCACCACGAGCCATGTGGGGCTGCTGAAGCCCCCCTGCTGCCTCCCCCCACACCTCGCCCAGCCCGCAGCCCTGCCAAGCGCTCCAACCCTCACGCAACCGCAGATTGAATAATTAAAAATAAAAAAAAAAAAAAAAAAAGAAGAAGGAACGGCCAAGGCAGAGGCAGCACGGGAAGGAGGGAAGCAGGACCCGGAGGAGGAGGAGGAGGAGGAGGACGAGGGGAAGGGTGGTGGTGGCGGTGGTGGCGGCCGGGGCTGACTCACCCGCGCCGTGACCTTGTAGACGGTGTGGCCGCGGGGGTGCCGCCGCGGCTCGGTCACGGTGTAGAAGCGGGCCAGGTCCCCGCCGCGCTGCCGGGGGCTCAGCATGCTGCCCACAGGGCCGGGCCGGGCTCAGCCGGGCCCCGACAAGGACGGAAGCGGCGGCCGGGAACGCCCCGACACGCCCCGGCCCGGCCGGGCCCGCCCCGCCGCGGGGAGCTCCGCCCGGCACCGGCACCGCCATGGGGGGGACGGGGGCTGCCTGCCAGAAGCTCTTTTCTCCTCAGAAAGAGCGGGCAGGCACTGGGATGGGTTGCCCAGGGAGTGGTGGGGGCACCGTCCCTGGGGGTGTGCAAGGAAAGGTTGGATGTGGTGCTCAGGGACATGGGTTAGTGGGTGGTGGTGGTGGTGGTGGTGGTGGTAGGGGATGGTTGGAGCAGATGGTGCTTGGAGGGCTTTGCCAACCCTAATGGTTCCGTGATTCTGAATCACAGTGCTTGATGTTTCCTGTCTTCTCCAGATTTCTTAAGCAGTACTTGGACTTTGGGCTCTTGTGCATGTATAGGTCTCCCATATAACTCTTCAGGGAGGGAGGCATCTTGCCGCAGTCCAAAGGAGCAGCTCGTGCTGCGAGACGTTCTCCTTCCACAGGCTGAACCTTCAGTTACTTGGCTGCTGTGGCGTCTGTACCAACCTAGATTTATACAAATATAGATCGCAATTCAGATTATTTGAACTCTTAAAGTTATTTTTTATCACAGTATTTTAATTCATTTAATAGTCTGCTATTAAAAACTCAGCTGCTCATTAGCAGGTTATTAATATCTCTGATCTCATGCAGGCCTTTGACATAAAGAGGAGTATTTGATTGCATTTCTTTGTGAAATAGTAGAGACTTGTCATGAAACGAATAGTAAGCAGGTGTTTCCTTTGAGGATGACTGAGCTCCATTATGAACCTTTACAATATTCCCAATTATTGCTATGTAAATGAAAGTTCTTCTTCAATAATCATAATAATCCTGAGTTCCAGATCAGATTCACCGCTACAGCTACCATTCTGGAAGCTCACCTTTGAGTGAGCAGTTTCAGCATTTCACTGTTTGAAAAAAAAAAAAAAAAACAGCTCATTTGACAGTGGTTTCCCATGCGAAACCCTGAAAAGCCTAGCAAATTCAGGTCAGTCTCCAAATAGCAGTGTTCTAGTATCCACATACAGCTTCATCTTTGAAAAGCGCAACCCCAGAGGAAGGTCATTTTTCTGTTGGAGAATACAATGACTCTTCCGAACAACTCATAGGGCAGAAACAATACAAATGTGAGTTTTACAACATCCTGGCTCTTGTTTTTCTTTGGATTACTTTGGCATTCCCAGCTATCAAGTTACTAGAAAGATTCTTTATTGTTTTTATCTCTGAGAATTGCTTGTTTTTTATCTCTGAGAATTGCTTTGCACTGGGAATATTTTCTTAAGGAATGGGGAAGAGAGGAAACATTAATTCTTACAGAGACACATAATCCTTTCAGTAAAATTGAAGTTTCATTGAAAGAGACATTCCAAAAAGAGATCCTCTGTTTGGAGCAATTTTAATGTACAAGTGATGGAAACACTGAGTTTTCTTTAAATCTGAAATGAAGGGGTTAGAATGATGTCAGAGGATATTTTATTACTCTCATCTTCTCTAATTTTAGCTGTAGGAAACTTGTGGCTTCTCAGATCACTTTTGTGGTGGCACCACATCCAAAAACCAAAAAGCTGGTTGAAAATAGGCTTGCACAAGGGAGCATGGAAACAATTTCCAACATGAGATACTATGCATGTATTTGGTACCAGCAGTTCATACAACCTTGCAGTGCAATACTTAATAGTACATGATTAGACAACCAATTCCAGTATAAACTTGCTTATGAAGCAGCACTTGCTTATAATACCTCATAAGATGTGGTAGCTTTGAAGTTTTAATTCTACAAGCAGAAATCAGTGGAATCGAAGTCATTGATTTATCCCTAAGGAACGATATAACAGATCTCATTTAAATTGTAATAGCTAACTCAAAATTCAAAAGTTAGCAGTTTGATGGGAGGAGAAATGGAAACGAACCAGTAGAAGCTGAGCTGACAGGTGTGTATGTTGCAGCTGTTTAACTCCATGTCTGAAACAAGCTTTACGTATTTTGTACAGTTTCCATCTCCTTTATTTACCAGAGAATACGCATATGTTAGGACTGGAAAACCTCAGAAGGACAGTAAATATGATCAGATCTATGGAATAGCCTCTTCGTTTGGAACAATGCAGAAGTTTCTGGCACGGAAGAAGAAATAACATGATGGGATATGATAGTAGTCCATGAAATCATGTTTGGCTTGGAGAAGATGGATGGGAATGGACTGATCAGTGTCTCTTTAAAGACAAGAGCCATAGGTGAGTGAAGTTGGTAGGAATGAGGTTAAAAAATAATAATTTAAAAAATAATTTGTCACATAACAACCATTAGAATTGCAGGACTTGTCAAAGGGTGTTGTCGATGCAAAAAGTTCCCAGGTTCGAGTACTTGGGGGAGAGAGTCACTGAGAGTTACATAAATGACAAACACATCAGTCTTAAATCTACAAAGCTCAAAACAACTAGATGCAGGAGTATTCAGCTGAAATTTGCCCAGTCCCTGCACATCTTCAGGCATCTGCTTCTATCCACCTTTAGAACGCAGGAAACTGAGCTCTGCGGAGCACTGAGCTGAACCACCAAGGCTGTTCTCATGTTCAGCATAATCAATCAAAACATCCCTCGGTGAGTCAGTAGCCTCCATTCACTAGGGCGTTTCAGAAGCTCAAATGACTCATGAAAAACTTGGCTTCTCATTACAGATCATAGAACTTGGAGATACCTATTTTGAAGAATAACTCTTAACATTGGATGGCTGACCTAGATATACAAAATAATAAGTAGAGAAAATACACAATCTGTAATTAAGCGTTACTGGCTTATTAAGGCTTAACCTAGGGCAAAGCAAAAAATAACTGCAAAATTCAGAAAAGAAACAATTTGTATCATATGAATAGGTTAATCTTTTAGTTATCTTCTATTTTGTGTTTTCACAATTAATTTTATGCTTAACAACATATCTTTATCTTTTTCAAGTCTTGTCTTAAAAAAAAAATAAAGTTTCACCCTTTCCCCTTTTCTAGCCTCACTACTGAGATTATTATTATTATGCAAAAACTTTCAAAGCAACAGAGTAACCTGGGTGCCTTATACAGCATTGGGTGTCAAAATAGAGAAAATAACTACATTCTACAGGAAGATTCCCACTGCTCCTAAAAATAAGAGCAGTTTTCACTGCTGAAGCTATGGGTTTCTGTCTTCTGTCTTACAAATACACCCAAGAAGTAAGAATACTTCAAAAATATGGAAAAGAATAAATGAAAGAAATAATGTATGGATGGAAAATAACAGTTGAGAGTTCTTTACTGCTGACAAATTACATAACCAGTAGCTTCACTCCCTTACTACCTTGTGAAGAAACTAACAGAAAATCTTTACCTTTTGCCATTAAGTAAGCTGTGTTCAAGAATGAAAACCCAAAGTGAATTGGACACATCGCCTAACGTAACACTCTTAACATAATCACATTATTCCAGGTTTAAGTGTTCCCTACCAGTCTTGTGAAAAGCTTAAAATGATTGCTTACTTAAAGTCACTTGTATGAAAAAAAATAAATAAAGGAATGCAGAGAAACAGTATTTTGCTGAATTATACAGTTCCTGCACAGCATCTGCCTTATGCAGCGCTATCATATTTCATATGATTAGTGCTGTATTTTCTTGCAGTAAGCAGAGCCAGCATGTGCTTTGTCCTCAGAAGACCTCCAGGATGCATTTAACTCTGTGCAGGGCTGGCAGCAGCAGACCTGGTGGTTTCTGCGGTTGGTAGCTGCGTGTGCATCTGCAGGGCTGCCAGGGCGGGCAGGCAGGCTCCTGCTTCTTTCACCAGACTGGGACTCCCTACCAGCACAGAGCTTATGTGTGGAGCATTTTAACCCAGGAATGCTAAAATACAGTCTTGGGTGAGTGGCTTTTATTTTTCTGCAAACAGCGAGTGGCAGCTTGGAACAACCAGCAGCTCTGCCTCAAGATGCTTCAGGCCCTGGGGAATACATGCTAAAGACAGCATCCCACTGAGAAGACAGCATATGGAAAATGCAGCATTAAGTCAGCGTTATATCTGCTTTTAACAAATAAAAAAAAAGGCCGAAAGTGAGAAGCGAGGCAGCCAACGACCCATCGCTCGGGGCACAACATGGCTCCCCCCCCCCCCCCCCCAGCCCGGGCCCAAGATGGCGGCCTGGCTTCATCGCCCCGGAGCCAAGATGGCCGCCGTCTGACTACAAGTCCCAGGGGGCGAGCGGGCTGTGGGGCGCGGCCTGGCCGCCGCCCGCCGTGCCGGGTAAGGGCAGGCAGGGAGCACGGCGGCGCCGGGCGGAGCTGGCGCCGTCCTGGGCTGACCCCTTCGGGGGGCACCGGGGCTGCGCGGAGCCGCCAGCGGGGCCCCGGCCCGCTGGGAGGTAAAAGGGCGGCGGGCGGAGGGCGCGGGATCGCGGGGCGCTGCGGGGCTTCGCCGGGCCCAGGAGCCGCCTGGGCGCTGTGGTGCGCGGGGAGCCGGCCTCGCTCCTTCCCTCCCGGGAGCCGCTCTGGGGCTGGCGATGAAGCTGCCCGATGGTGGGCAGCCCTAAATAAAGCCTCGCAGGTGGCGGCCCTTTGCTGTTAGCAGCCGGCGGCATGCAGGGCAGCGGCCGGAGGGAGGAAGCAGAGGCGTTCCCCGCTGGTCGCTACGAAAGCCTTCGTCTGAGGCTGTGCTTTGACAAAGCCTTCTGGTGGATTGAGTCTTTTTGGAATCCTTCTCTGTGAAGCGAGAGTTCCAGGAGTTCTCCTCAAAGGAGGGGCAGTGCTTGCTTTGGGACCGCATCGTAATGCTGCGGTGCGTTGGGGCGGCATTGCACTTGTGCGACAAAGGAGCTGCTTCTAGTACATTGCAGCAAAAACTACTATTTCAGAACAAGCTGGTTTTGCCAAGCTGTATTTAAGTTTATTTGCTAGGCTGAATGACAGATAAGTTTTGACTTCAGGCATGTCAAACTCTGTTATCTTCCGCTCATAACCTCAAAATACGTCTTGTCGCTCGAACAATGAGGAAGCTGGGACAGTCTGGTGGCACTTGGCTTCCTACGGTTTTGTTGAGACTGAGACTTTTCTTCCGGAGTGGGTGGGATTTCTATCTTTGTAGCATTAATCATTAAGCGGCAACTTTCTCACCTTCAAAGCAAACATTAAGAATTCGCATAGTAAAAACTTCTGTCTAAGCTGGTGCCCGAAAGGGGGAGAGCATCAGTACCCTCTGTTTCCTGGTCTTGTTGGCTTTGTGGCTGGAGCCAAGTTTGTGACTCTTTCTTTCAGAAGTCAGAAACTTGCTCGAAGTGGTTTTCTGCTTCTTTTCAGATAGCTTAATAATCCAGCATGCGGAAATGAGATTTTGTAAAGATCAGTCAGCTGAGCACTTGAAAGATGTGATGTTGAATTCAACAAGGCAGGGAACAAATTGTGGATAGCTACTAAGATGGGGAGTTTGCAAATTTTAAATGACATTTGTTATGCTGAAGGGGGGGAAAGGAGACAAGATCAGTTTGTAAACTTCCCCTTCAGAAATTTCAACTTTTACCTGAATGATTTGCACATGTACCAATTACATGTGTAATGCTAAATAAAAGGTTGTAATGTATAATTGGTATCTAAAAATAAGGTTCTTATCCCATGGAGGTGAGTTAGAACTCAAAGGAAAATGAGTTAACTTGTAGGAAAGGATTACCTTTCATATGTCATGATTGGGGTGACTTGTATCTACAGTCCTCTACATGCAGATCTAGTTGCATTTAGGTAATAAATCTTATGCTTTCTTTGATAGACACTCCATGCTGCCCCGTCACATGCAGAGGCTGGGCAGAGACTGGATTGCCCACTTGAACAGTTCTCAGGTATTCACTTTGAACGGCCCAGTTTCTACCTGCATGAGATGGGCTGGACATTATCCTCGGGCCTCGTTTCCTCTTCCTGTTCCAGTTGACTTCTCAGCAAACTGGAGGTTCCCTCCGTTTTTTGGACCTTGGAGGCAATTTCAGAACTCCTATTGGCAGCTTGATAACTTTGCACAAAGTTCTTGTTTCCATCTACCGAACCCCAGTATGAAATCTGAGGGAGAAGAGCCACTGACAAAGAAGAGAAGGCTTAGTGGTCAGCATGATACTCCAGCTCCTGAGGAAGAAACAAACTTCGCTAATCAGAAGGAAGCATCGTGTCTTTCTGTAGCACAGAACAAAAAAAGTGATAGCAGCAAGAAAGGTAAAAAAAAGAAAAGCTCTTTGCTTGTTTTGTTTGTTTATTTATAACAAACTTGTTAGAAGCAATGTTTCCTGCAACTTGTGAGTTACTATTTTTCTTGGCACCTCTCCCAAGAAAACATCTGTCTTAATGTTACAGTTCTGTAATGCTGTCAGTAAATTGCTTTATTCTGTGATGTCAAACAGCCTGTCAGAAAGAAAGGTGTGCTGTACTTGGTGGCAGAGCAAATGCAACGCACAAATACACCTACTCAAGTCAGTAATCTACTTGCATGGAACTTGGAAATGTCTGTGTTAACTTATTACACGTGACACCAAATGTTTCACTGGGTGTTTAGGGTATTAACAGTTCTGTCAACTGTGAAACAGAGGGGCACAGTCAAGATTGTAAATTAAATAAATTACTTCTATAGCAAAGTAAAAGTTGTATTGTGCCTGAAAAGGACAACAGATGCCATCAGGATCCCAAAGGGCTTTTTGGACATAAATATCCATAAACATGAAGAATTCCTTCCTGAAGAATTAGAAAAGTTATCCATTATCAAGAGCTGAAGGAAGGGAGGCTGCTCCATGTCATTACTGCTGAGTCCTGCCTTAACCCCCTCCTTAGCAAGCATGTCTTGACTTCTTGTCTGAGAGAGTGGTGGGCATTGTGGCCCATCCTAGTTATCTTTCATTCACAGCATTATAAGGTGACAGTAATTAAAGGCACTCACTGAGGAGCAATGTGACTTCTCTCTCACTATAAAAACAGTATTTAAAGCCTTGCTGCACTTGCAAATAGTGGATAAAGTCCTGAGTAATGTAAGCACAGGGCTGAAGTTTGCTACCCAAGTAGGGCAGATAATAACAGCTCTTGCTGTTTGTTGATAACACAGGTAACTGGGTCTTGGCACACTCTTGGATGAGCTGGAACATAGCTGAAAGGCATCTTTGATTGCAGTCTTTTTAAGTGGAGAAATACATAGCTGAAAAACAATTAGACACTTAATGGTGGACAGATATTCTTCTAAACTTTTGTGTACAAATAATAAATACTAAACTAGGTATGGCAGAAAGGCAAAGTAAGCCTTTTCAGAAGTTTATGGTAATTCTGCGGCTTATAATTTCTTTAAATTGCTTAACCTCGCTGAGGAAAATCAACTTTGGTACCTGTTTTGGTACAAGATAGCTCAGGAGGCGTGTATGCTGTGCTAAGGGTGTGCCCCAGGCTGCCATACCCCATGGCCACTGGGGAGGCAATAGTATGAGCCTGTGTCAGAGACTGGCTTTGGCTTACTGGTTTGACAGCCTCCAACAAGCAAGATGGTGTGGTAGGACAGCAGTGATCTCCTTGGAACGTGCCAGTTCCCTTATTTCACAGTCATTTGAAATCGAGAGCCTGTAATAGCTTTCTGGTGTGTTTCTTACTGATGCTTATATAAAGTTTATCTTAAATGGAGGGCCTGAATCGGTGCTAATCAAAAGAGCTTTGAGAATTGCTTAAGCAATTTCACAAATAGTTGTCAGTAGAATGATTTCCAATAGAAGTAAGTCATATGGTGTTATTACATAACTTGTTTTCTGCTCGTGTGTGTTCTTAACAGGAACCATCAAAAGGCACTGGGAATATTTCTGTCAGCACAGTAAAACAATGAAGATCTTTGAAAATAAAGAAATTGACCAAAGCAATAGAGAAAGTGAAGCAAAATTTGATTTTACAGTCATGTCCTACAATATCCTCTCACAGAATTTGTTAGAAGATAACTCCCACCTGTACAAACACTGCAGGCAACGCTTGTTAATCTGGACATACAGATTTCCCAACATTCTGCAAGAAATCAAACAGCTGGATGCGGATGTGAGTACAAAATGAGCGTGTGAATGTTAGTACGAACTGATGAAATGGGGCAGCAAATGTCTGCTGTATTTTCTTTTAGTAAGTGGGTTCTCTAGTGAATCTTACGGAGCTTTTAGTTATCTCATGCTTAAAAGCAGTTCTGCTTTATGCTTACACAATCAGTGTATTCTGTGTGATCCAAACTTGCAGCAAAGGCGAACTCTACAGTATGAATTACTCAGAGTTGCTTTTGTTTTTTTAGAGCCGTTTGTTAGACCAGGTAATAGAGAACTTGCTGTTGGGTGGTAATCCTTGGTTTGGCAGGCAGGCAGCCTCAAATGTTGTATTGACTTTCCTGATTGTATGAGGTCCTGAGTGACAAAACTGCTGTTTTCTTGAGATTAACGTTCAAGGTTGTGAGAAAGATGCAGCTGGTAGTAGTACCTATTTCCAATGAGACTCTGAACTCAGAAGTATTCTTTCTGGCTGGTATTCTGCACCATTTGACTTGTGAACAAGCTTATTGCTCTTTGCTGCTGAGCCATAGCTCTGAACACCTGCTTACAGCAGGGTTTGAAAAAATACCTCGTCTTGTAGGGCTTTACATGTCCTTGGCTGGTTGGCTGTAGGTGTTTTTGTTTGTTTTAAGGACATTCAGTGCTTATTGTTAATCAGGAAGTCAAGTCAAACTTTGCTTCAGTCATTGTTCAGGCCAGTGAAAGTTTGGTGATAGAGTTCAACCTGTTCACATCAGAAAACAGTGCCGAACAAATCCAAGTAAACACGTTAGAGAAGCCACCGAAAAGCTGCTTTGTTGTGCCACTTGGAAAATACAGTTGTGTGAGTGTGTAGGCAGGAAGCTGAAGATGAAAGTCCTCTTCAGGAGAGGCTCTGGTGGGGATCTGCCTGGTGCTAGCAGCGGTGACAGGACTTCTCCAGGAGGAAGGCTTGGAGCAAAAGCCAGCTCCTCTGGCAAAGAGTGGAGTGCTAAAGCCTGTGGAGCTACGCAACGCAAGACTGGGATGGAGTTGATGCCTTGTATTGCCTGCAGAGAAGATGGAGATGCCCTCTGTGCAGAGTAAATCCTTGCCGAAAGACATCAACTTGTAATTGAGTCATTGTTTTGAACTGTAACCAAGTGGGCTTCTTGTTAAAGCTGAGTAGAAACTTCAGACTGATGCTTCAGGTTGTGCTCTTGTCTTTGAGACCTTGAATGAGTTGATGTCAGCTGGATAAGCAGTCTTGCTGCTGTTCAGTAAGCACTGCTAACTCATTACCCTTCAGGAGCTCAGTCCTTTGTCAGAGTCCCAAGGTGGCTGTAAATCTGTGTGTAACTGCAGTGTGCTCACTGCAGAGAAGGCTCCAGATGCTCAGAACTTTCTTAATGGACTATTTTGGGGACTGATTTTCAGTTCAGATTGTCATAAAAAGGAAACTTCTCATCCACTTTGTAGTTAAAGGAAAGTGTGTCCTTGGCTTCTTTATTCCATTGCTATTATTTAGCTTTATTTAGTTTATTTCTAAACTGCTGAGAATGTATTAACAGGTCACTGCTTTGATTAAATTGAATTTTACATCTGAAAATGTGTCTGAGAAAGGCGGGGAGGAATTAGAGTCCTTTTCACAATTTTAAGGAGGTTTTTCTATAGGAGAGTGAATCCTTTTGTAGGATTATAGAGGCAAAAATCTGAAATACTTTTTGTGTTGTTTAAGCCTGTAAAGACTGCCAACGGAAAGATAAATTAATATCTTGACCAACATCTTTTAACTGTAAACTTTTGCCTTAGGTACTTTGTTTACAAGAAGTCCAAGAAGACCACTACAGAAAAGAGATCAAGTCAAGTTTGGAATCCCTGGGTATGATGAAATTCTTATTAGTATTTTTTTTATGACCACTTTTTCTTTTTTCCTTCTGATACTGCCCTTGTCACTCTGTCATATAAATCGGTGGCAAGGGACAAGCTGACAGGGATGTCATTTTATGGTGGTTTAAACTCACTGAAATTTTATTTGCACCCAGTCCCAGGGCCCCACTCCCTTCCCAGGCGCTGGTACTTGTTTGATGCCATGAGGAGCCTGGACTGATTTATTTTTTCTTTATTTCTTAGTAGTCTAGCTCCCAGAACCAAGTGCAGGTAAAGAAGGCAGCGTAATGGCAGCACTGACCTAAATCAGCTTGGAATGTGGAATAGCAGTGCAAGGCCAGGCTCCTGTGGGCAAGGGAGCTTTTGGTCAACTCTGCTTTATGGGGCTGTACTTCATGAATTTATATGGCATGGGCTGGGCAGAGAAGTGTTTTGTGCCAAGATACTTAGTTATTTCTTATACAGATAAGGGGTCATTAAAATCTGAGTTTCAGCTCTGCATAGGATAAAGAACTTGGTAAATTACTATTTTCAGGTGGACTTGCATGAACTCCAGTTCTGTCATTTGATAGGTGTCTCAATTTTCCTGTTGCAAGCTTGCCTCTTGCTGCTAACTGGATAATTGCATAATTGTGTAAATATGTTGAAGCATTTGATGGTCTATGAATCATTTTAGACAGTGATTTATGACTTACAGTGATTATTGCTTTTGATTGAAAGACTTCACTGCTAGTGTTTTTAAACCATAATTGTAGCATTCAGAAAAAAAACTTCAGTATGCAAATCCACTTTTATGGGACTTGGGGTTTAGATTTTGTTTCAGTGTTTTTGTTTGTTTCTTGTTTTGTTCTTCCACGTGAGGAGAGAACGTGCTTCGTATTTTTGAACTATTTCGATGCTTATCCATTGCAGTAAATTTGGTCTAATGCCTTTTGCAGTTTTTCCTTTTAACTGAAGTTAGGACAAAGTTTTGTGTACACTTTCCTTCCTGAATCATATTTTTAAACTTTTGAAGAACAAAAGTTTAGAACTTTCTTAAGAAGTTGATTCTTGGCATACAGAGAAGGAATAAAATGAATGCTAAGGATACCTCTCCATATATGAATTGTTAATGACATTAAATAATTTCTCATTTAAAGAATATGAGATAAATACCTTTATATAAACTTGTTTACATTTTTAGCTGAACTTTATTTTGGGCAGTTAATGTTGAACTGTTTTCCCATCTTAGGGAAACGCTTCCCTTGGTAAAGCAACTTTCTTTTGAAAACAAGAAACAATGGGGACGGTCCCTATCAATTTAAAGTATAAATGGGAACTCGGTTTTATGTACTTTGTTTTTATCATGACCCAGATTTCTTGGTATTCCTTTCCTGTCAAAAGTCATTAAAGCTGGAGTTTCTATAGGGAAATTGTGATGAATATTGTTTATGAACTCTGTTCCCAGCTTTGTATGTAGTGATGCCAAATAATTCCCATTAAAATCAGCTTTCCTCCAAGGCAATGTCTGAGACTTTTACCTCATAAGTCCATGACGAATGTTGAAGAAACACAGTGGACATCCCTTATCTTTGGTAGAAATAGACTGGATCTTCACTGCTGGGGTAGAAAAGTAGTATGAAGTCTTTCTAATTTTTATATATATATTTTATCTGTATTTCTTTAACTTATCTGTACTTATACAATGGCATTTTATGTTTTTAATTGCCTTTCTTGCAGGGTATCACTGTGAGTATAAAATGAGGACCGGGAGAAAGCCTGATGGCTGTGCTATTTGCTTCAAAACTTCCAAATTTAGCCTGATCTCGTCAAACCCCGTAGAGTTTTTTCGCCGTGATATTCCACTCTTGGACAGGGACAATGTGGGACTGGTGTTGCTTTTGCAGCCTAAATTTCAGTGTAAAACTAATGCTGCCATCTGTATAGCCAACACGCATCTGTTGTATAACCCACGGAGAGGGGACATCAAGCTGACCCAGCTTGCAATGCTCCTGGCAGAGATTGCTAGCGTGGCCCCTCAGAAGGACGGTACCTTCTGTCCGATTATCATCTGCGGTGACTTCAATTCTGTTCCTGGTTCCCCACTGTACAGGTTTATAAAGGAAGGAAAGTTAAATTATGAAGGACTTGCTATTGGGAAGGTAAGGTGTGTTTTTTGCTTCTCATTTAAAAAAAAAAAAAAAAAGGTTGATGCTGATTAAAAAGAAATATTTAAGTCACACTAGAATATGATAGCTGGATTTGTGATTACTAACATTGCAGTATCAATCTTGGTTCCCCTTGCAAAGGCTGTAAAGCAAAAGTTACTGTGAAGTTAAGCCTGGGTCTGTTAGCTGTGCCTTACAGAAGGCTGTCTGTTTCATTTCAGCATGCTGGAAGAATTTGCCAAGCAAATTAATTGTTCTCAAAAGGCAGTTAGCCACAAGATGATGGTATTACTGTTTCTAAGTGTCCTGGTCTTTAAATAGGATAAAATAAGTACTTAATCAAATATGTACTGTGTTCTCCCTGGAAAGATGACTTCTGTTTTAGATATGAAGTGTGAATTAAAGTGGTTAGAGTAACTGTAAAACTATGATTAGATGCTGAACATAAACTGTGTCAGGTTGCACGGTTTTCTTTGTAAATTATTGTACGTAGCTGTTAGATGTGCCAAAAGCTACTTAATAGAAAGTAACTTGAGTACATACAATGAGAAAACAGGAGCTTTTGTTTGTTGCTAGTGGGCTGTTGTTTCTAGCCCCTCTTTGATTTGCTCCAAGAAGAATGAGCATCATAAAGATGAAGTAAGTGTCTGCTAGGGAGATGTTTATTCTCGGTCCTATTATGTTGCTAGAAGTGCTCTTGGTAGTTTCTCAGCTTTGTGTCACAAGAACTGTCTTGGAAATCTAGGTATCTGCAAAAAGTTTGGTAAGAGTTAACAAAAGAAGTTTACATAAGGAGAGTTTAGTGTTTTTATAGAGACTTGACGAACCATTATAGAAGACTTATTCTAAAGAGCTGAATTCCATGTAAAACTTTAAAATTTACAGAATTTTTCCATTCATTTCAGTGTTTTTAATCAGATTTCTGTATGAAAAAAAGCTTGTTGTCTTTCTTAGGTTTCTGGACAAGAACAGTTTCCAAGGGGACAAAGAATCTTATCTATTCCAATTTGGCCAAAAAAATTAGGTATTTCACAGAACTGTGTATATGAGATAAAACAGCAACAAAAAGAAGAAAATGCAGGTCAGTTTGGGGGTTGATGAATTTTGTGGTCCTTTGAAAATATCCTGCAGGCAGCACTGAAAAACAGAAGGTCTTTTCTAGTAGAGGGGAAAAATGAGCCTTGAGCTTGCAAAAAAAATCATTGGTGGGCTTGTTAGAGGGTAAAGTTATTTGTTCATGTCAGTATTTGCAGGTTTGAATCTTTTAGAAGACACAAATACTATTAAGGAGCTGATCCATAATAATTAAACAAATGGGAAAAGCAAGTGGTTCCTGAGTGTTAGCATATCTCTCATCCACCTTTTTTTCTGTGACAAACAAAATAATTTGAAATGAACTCTTTGAAGGGAATTATAATAATGGAACAGAATAATTTAATCCAGCTTTGTGAATTTTATCTTGCTTGCTGCAAGAACTAAGTGTACTTAGAGATATAACAGGTGGCTCTTTTATTCTGTAGCTTTTCGATACAGGTTTCACCTACATCCTATTTTTAAAATGTAAATGGAATGTATTTTTGTTTTGCAGGAGAAAAAATGGAAGAATCAAAGTTGAACGATACTAAGGAGATTGTAAGAACATCTGAAAAGTACGTTTTGTGGGGAGGAGGAAATGGAAACCATGGAATGGTTCTTAGTTTTTGGGGTGGGGGAGAAATATATGGCTGCTATTTGAAAAGAAGAATATATTTGTGTTTACCGAACTGGTGGAAGTATTTAAAATAAGGCACAGAAGGAGGAAGCTACCATAACTGTGTATGTGTGATATCAGGCTCCAAGTTAGCCATTTCTTCTAATCAGAAATGAGATCTTGGTACCACACATGGCTTTTCTGAGAAAAGTAGAAGATAATCTGGGAAACCCTCTGCTACAGTGTAAATCCCTAGCATGCCACGTGTTGAAGACTGCTGGCAGGTTTTTTGCTTCATCTTAAAATGAACACGAAATAACAAGGCTGATCAAAGTTATTCCCAAGCTTTGATCCGAAGAGTGATTAAATGGACATGGGTCGTCTTGTCTTAGAAAAAAAGACAGCTGGGAAGGGATAAGCAGGAAAACCCTTAATAACTAGCAGAACATGAATAAAAATGGAAGGGGTAAGTAGTGAGTATACCGATCATGACAAATTTCCAGGCAGTAGCTATAAAACAGGTAAAGGTTCTTCCTCTCCCCGCACAGATAAAATTACCTGCTAAGCGTTGTAGAAGTTTCTAAGAAATAGTATGGTAAGCTCACAGAAGAAAAGTCTGTTGTATGTGGTTTGCCTAGTGTGGATGCAACATTGTTGGCCAGGTTGTGAGCTGCAGGACTGTTGATAATTTGGATGTTCTCCAGTGACCTGTATTCCTGTAGGCATCACAGTTGTTATTCCCAGCCTGTGTTTGCTGCTGGCTGGTTCAGGCAGTTAGGGCAGGCTGTGATGACTCCGTAAAGCTGTGCTTCTGCTAACTGTGGATGAAAAAGTTCATCAAAATGCAGGAGGCAGAAATCCATGGAAGCTGCAATGGATAACCTGTAGTGTAGCAGAATCAATGAAAAAGAGGAGCTTATTCCCCAGCAATTTCCAGAGCAGAAATTACTACCACTCTGTATTGTACTCACTGTCACCCAGGCAGGTGACATGCTGATTTTTTTATTTATTTTTTTTTAAAAAGCTTGGGTTTAACCAGAACAAATTGCAGATTAGGTTTAAAATGCAGCCCATTCAGGGCAAGGCAGGTACAGCTGATAGAAGGGTAATTTGCTAAAAGATGCAGTTGTCTTCTTTCAGGATTGAAAAACCAGGTGAGATGAGGTGGGATGAACTGGAGTAGCCTGACAGGTGATGGGGAGACACAAAATAGGAGCCTAAGTAGAAGAAAAATCAGGCATAGCCTAATGTAAAAATACCTGATAGCTTTGTTTAGAAAAAAAAAAATAAATCTTTATTTCTCTGTATGCCCAGTTAGATGAGTTCAGTTAGTCCCTTTTCATATAAGCTATTCTCATAGACACTTCTACCCATGTTTCAGGGAGATATAGCACAATGAGGGCATATGAGATCTTAAAAAGTGTGGATGGAGTTGATCCAGTTTTGATAGGCTTTTAGATGTCTGCCACTTACTTGAAAAAGCTGTTTTCATTTTACCTTCAGAGGTTTGGGTCCCTAAAGCAGAAGGTGGTGGGATTGATTGCTTAAGAGAAGCACAAAGGCTGTATAACCTACATATCCTCATGATGATTTTGTTTGAACTAGAAACTTTTTGGTGTTTCTTCATTGCTTGTTCTTTACAGGAAATGCAGGAAAATTAAATGTTTTTCTTTGACTCTGTTTAGGTTGTCTTCAAAATTGCGGCACCATTTTAAGTTGTCTTCAGTGTATTCTCACTACTTCCCTGAAACTGGGATGCCAGAAGTAACAACCTGTCACTCCCGAAGTGCAGTCACAGTGGATTATATCTTCTATTCTGCAGCAAATGATGATGATGCTACCCAGCCAGGTAAATAAATCAGCTTTTAATTATTTTTTAGAAATGCTAAAAGGGAACTTCCAGATCCTGTTGTAAGGGAAGCACAGTGACAATTTGATCTGTATCAAGCATCTCGCGGGTTTGTGGTGTTGTTTTGAAGCAAAAAACTTCTACCTTTTACAAATTACCTGAGAAATGTGTCTGGCCTTGTAAACTTACCACAGCTGGATGTAGAGTCCCACACAGGGCAAACTCTTTCAACTTGCTAAACATTCCTGTAGTTGCTATCTCAGCCTGGAGACCAAGAGCAGAGGAAACAGAAAAGCAGCAACGTAAGGAGCACCTAGGAAATACTGGTGTCAGTAACGCATGCAGGATCTCAGTGGTAAAATAGTAATTTACGATGTGCATTTAAGTTTATTAGTGAACAATTTCTTAGAAAATCACTTTTCAGGTAGGTTTGATGTAATGTCTGTCAAGCAAATGACCTCATGTGCCTTTCCTCTGAGAGCAGACACTGGCATGTGCCCCTCTCCCGTTGCAGTTGCAGCTAAAACTCACCAGATGGTGCAAGAAAGACACGGTGCCTCTGCGGGTGTATTTCTTCATGGGTAGTAGCAGTATCATCCTTAATTGCTTTTGTGTTCTTACCATGGATATTCCTGAGCAGACTTTCCATGTGAGGCGTTCCATGCTATAAAAAAGAAAAGACTTTCCACGTTATAGTTAGCTGTGTGTTTTATGTCATTGTCAAAGAACCTTGCACAGTGCAGCACTATCAGATAAATTAATGGCTTTGCAGAACTCAGAGCAAAGAAAGCTGGGTTCTGCTCCTGCTCCCAGTGTAGGTTGCAACTGATATTTATAAATTAACAATCATTTCAAATACTGAAATGAAAACGCCACCTTCATCTCTCACACCCTGAGTCTAGGCTGTTAAAATTCATTGAGTCAATACACAAGTCTCATTTCTCTTGACATGTACAACAAATGCTGTTAGCGTAAAGTAACAAATACAAAAGCTTTAAAACGCAGATATAAAAGTTCTGAAAAGCTGGATGACAAATGTCTAAGCTCAGTCTGGATTGTGTGACTTGAGTGCTGTGTGGTTTCAGTGCAGCACCTTGCAGAACAGAATCCTAATTCACATGCCCATACATTTTGTTGCAGCACCAGTGCCCCAGCAGAGCTGTAGCACTTCTTTCTTCCTGCATGGCTTTTCAAATAGATCTTTCACCCCATGTCAGAGCACAGAATAGGAGTAAACTTGAGTTCTCAGAGTAATGTAAAGTAGTGTAGTTCTCATTCATTAGTTTTTAGTTTGGATTTTTCAGTTTTCTGATGCCTGTCATTGGATGTCCATTGTGGAAAGTTGTCCAAAGTCAGAAGTGACTTAGATGTGGTCTGAGGCTGGCTGATCACTTTTTTTTTTACCCCCATTAAAGGTGTTGGGGGTTTTTCGGCAGAGTTCTGATGCTGTGCTTTGTGTTATGCTTAGCTAAGGATTTTGGACTTGCTGTGAAAGCAGGGTTCAGCACCTACCTGGCTCCTTCGGGATTTGATTTTGCTGGTTGCAGAGTGCCCTGAGCTGAAATTAATTGCTGCACGTGGACCAAGCTGTCTGTAGTAACAAACTGCTGCTTTATGGACATTCGGGTGCTGTGCCAAATGATAAACTTGGCTCGAGAGCTGGGAAGACGTGCTCTGGAGCTGCTGAGACATCTTCGCAGCGAAAAGGCTTTGCTTCAAAGCAGTAGTAAACAGCTGCTGGGCTGTTAAAGGCCTGGAAAGCTGGCAGTTGGCTAAGGAGTGAAGATGTTGAACTATCTGAGGAGTTTAACAGTTGCTGGATAATCCTTTAAATACCCCTACTGCTAAGACAGTACCTAAAAAGGTTCAGTCAGAAGGATCTAAATTTGCTGTTCATTTTCACACAGACTTTTTTTTGTCAAAGTTGGAGCTGCTGTTTGTGCTGTACCTGAAAAGCACTTAGCCCTTCAGTATTTATTATCTCTGCGCTCTGAAAGCAGTAGCTAAGGCTGCTGAATAGTCCTCTTCCTCAAAGAGACAGCTTAAGAAGCTTGAGTTTGTTGACACATCACTACAGGATCTTATTCTGAATAGAATTCCTTTACTTGACTCAAAAGCTTATTAATTCTTGCTGCTGATAGCTTTCAGTTTCTTTGATAACAGATTTTAAGCATATTGTAATAGTAATGTGTAATAATGACAAGGCTGTCAGTCATCTTCCCCTCTTCCATGAACAATGTGGTGCTTTTGGTATCTGGGGGGTGTTTTGGTTTGTTAGGGTTTTTTTTGCCATTATAGAAAGTATCAGGAAACACCAGAGAAAGATCCATTTCTTATGAAGAGCAGTTAGGAAGGGAGATACCAGAAGGCTTTTTTCCTCAGTAATGAAGCCATCTGCTGCCTGCTGGAGAACTGTATGCTTGCGGATACAGAAATAAAATGTTAATGTGAAACGGTGACTCTCAAAAGATCCTTCATTTTGCAAATGTCAGCACTGTTTAACCATGCTGTTAGGCTGGAGCCTAAGACTGGATTGTATGAGGCTTTTTCAAGGAAGTTACAATGGACAAATCAATCCCTTTCCCTTTCTACCTCCATTTATCCTTCTGCAAAATGAAGGGGCAGTATCTTTCAGAGTACTTTAGGTCATAAGTCCTATTGTAAGGGTACAGTAACAAACTGAAAGAATTTCCAAAACACCTTACTGGTGATTTTGCATGGAACAGTAATCACTTTCGATTGTTTTTTGTTGTGTTTTCTTCTTTCTGAATATGTATGAATGTGGTTTTTAATAGTTAGTCCACACTGATGAATGTTTCTATTTTATTTTTTTTCAATATTAGGAGCAGTGGATTCTTTTCGTGGAGGTCTGAAGCTTCTTGGTAGGCTGGCACTTCTAACAGAGAAAGATCTCTGGACTGTTAACGGTCTGCCCAATGAAAATAACTCTTCTGACCACCTGCCATTGCTAGCAGAGTTCAGGCTTATTGAGCGGTAATAACCAAAGGAATTTTCGTGTAGCTAAAGTCACCTTCACCTTCTCTCTTCATGTGATTTTTATTTTTAAGGGGTAATTCAAGCACTGCTGGTCCGGTTTAAACAGGTTTGCATGCGTGCTGATTTGTTAGCGTTGTGTAAAGTAGACTTTTTAGAGACTTTTTTTAAACGTTTAAATGACTTCATGAAGTCTTTGAGGCAAAAAAAAAGTTTACATTAGCTTCCTTTGATAATGGAAAACATCTGTGCCAGTCTTAAAATGGCATTATTTTTCACAGAGATAGTGTAAATGGTTTTTATTGTAAATATGAGTAAAACTGATTATTCTCTGACAACTGCGTCATTCTTCGAGCAAAGGGAAGTGAGTTTGTGTGCATGCCCCATTTTGCAGTAAGTAATATTTTATTACAGAGTTGCTCTGCAGATGCTTTCATCTGAATAATTCTGCAAAGGAATTTCCTTTGTTACTTGTAGCCAGTGCAGAGGCTGCAGGGTTGGACCTGGATAGTTTTGCCTAAGGCAAATACTTACGCTCTCAAATTACTTCTTAAACTCCTAAAAAGTCACTGTGACATTTTAAATGGCCAAACTCAAGGCAGTGAACATGACAGCCTTCTGAAAACACACCCCACTCCCTGGCAACCCCTGACACCATTCAGGCAGTAAAATTTTTCAATTTCATTAGGGTATGTTGTAACTAAAGGACTGTACTAATTCCCTTTCCAAGGCGGGAAACAATCACCTTAAGTCTCTTCCCCTGTTTTGATGACATTAACAGGGGAAGGGTTAAGGCAGTACTGAAAGAATACACAGCAATGGAGTTTCAGGGTTTAGAGACTTGTTCTAGTCTGTCAGTGTAACCCAGAGAATGGTTAGGGGAGGCTCAAGGGTTTAATGCATAAACTTCTTTGTAGAACAGTAAATGATGGATGTAGGTATTTAGCATACAAAAAGCTGCTCTGGTTCCTTCCTTTTTGCCACATTGATCCTAGACTATAGCCTAATAAAGTGATATTTTTCTGGAATATCACAACCTGGACACTTACCTGTAATAGCCAGTGTTAGACAAGACAAAAAATAACCCTAAATCATTAAAAAGACTACCGTGATATTTTTATTGAAGTCTTATACTGTGCCTAAGCATACAAGTAATGAAAAAGAGAGCAGCATGCATGTTTTCTACAGTATTTGATGATGTTGCAGGGAATTAAAGTCACTAGAACCACAATTAAGACAAATGCCATCATAATCAAGTTCCAAGAGAATATTTCAACTGAACTTCAAAGCAAGACCCGCCCCCAAAAGCAATTTGTCACACAGCTCTGTAGCATAAAAGAGTTTCAGTATAAGTTAGAGGTTAAGAGAAAATAACTCAAACTGCTCTGGACACTTGCAAAAGCTATATACCAACCACTGTCACTCAAGCTGAAGTAAACAATGGTTTTATAGAAAAACTTGCAAGATATTAGATAACCTCATGCTATAGAATACAGCTGATCACCATGTAAGTCTTTCCACAGTGTTTTACCCATGAAAAATCTAAGGGACACAAGAAAAAATTGTCACAAGACACTGAGCAGCACGAAGTGTAAAACAAACTCTGCAGCTGATGTCAGATCACACAAGAATTTCTACCAAAAGAATATTTCCCTCTCTTCAACTTCACTCCCAACCCAAAAAAAATCCTGTTGTGAACACAGGAGCAAAAAAGGCTGGGGTGAGAGGGATGAGAAAGGCCTCCCTGTAATCGATAAAGTCACCTTGTATAAAGAAGTATAATACATATGAAAAGCCTTTCTAGGCCTTGTGAAGCCTGAATACTGAAATGCCTTTTCCTGGTTGCAAAAGGTTGCTGGGTCTCGGTGTTGTCTTCCTGCCCTGGGTAGATGAGGTTCACTGACTTCTCTGAGCAATGAGGTTTGTGTACATGCACTCATCTCCTCCTGTACCCGTTCAATTCCTGGCTGAGACAAGAAGGGTTCTGGGAGCTTAAATCCTTCAATTTGATTAAGCATTGTTGTTGTTGTGGTGATGCCCTGTCTTCTCTGCCATTCCAACAAAAGCAAGCGCCCGGGAGAGGCGGTACACAAGTCCCACGGCAGTATAATCTGGCAGCACAGCACAATGGGTAGAGGCTGGACTTTTGGAAGTGTCCAGTTTCTGTTTAGGCACCTAATGAAATATTTTCAGGAATGCAGCCCTCAAATGCTTCCAGAGAACTTCACTAACACGAAAGGCAGACTCCAAGGAAAGCCTTACCCCACCGCTTGAGAATGCTGCCATCCATCACAGGTCCTTTGCCCAATCTTCGCATGGAAGGACAGAGGAGGGAGGAAGCAGGTGAGCTCGATTCTCAGTTATTTCAGACATACAGTTGATTTTATTGCTGAATTTGTTCCAACACAAGCTTCTTTATTCAGCTCTGACTAAGCAGCTGTTACTACAGTGCATATACAAAAAACTCCCTACAGCAGCACCGTGGAAGCTTCACTTCAGCCTGTGATGTCTGATCTTAATATAAGATGTCAAGGCATCACTGTCTGAGACTGCTCAGCCTTTCAAAGACAAGGTTCAAAGTTGCATACAAGTGTTGAAAGGAAAGCAGAAAGACTCGGGTTAGCAATTCTGACAGTTCTCCCATTATTCCAAGAACATACACAAGAAACAAACTAGTACACGAACACTTGTCTCTCCAAAACAGCAATCTCTAGGTTTTGTGCTTCAGCAGTGTAGTCTGGAAAGACTAAAAGCTTGTGACAAAGTATAAAAAATTATTAAAGTTTAGAAATTCATTATTCAATTACTGTCATTTAAAAAAAACACTCATTTTTTTTTCTGAAGATGTCAGTGTTTAAGAACACACTTGCATATTACTGATACCTAACATCCTTCAGCAACATGCACAAAACAATAATACAGGTGGCAGAGCACATCCAGTGCTGTTCCAATACTACCAGAAATGCTGGGAAACGGTACAAATTCGTTACAAAACAGTAATACTGACAGTTTTGCATATCTATTAAGTTTAGTGAGGTAATGTTGACAATTTAAAAACTCATGCCACTTCTGCACTGCTTGTTTTTATTGCTGAATTAAATATTAATACTGCAAATTTTTTTAAACACTGCACCCCAGCACATCTTAAGACTGTGTTTGATTTTGTAGTCATCCCAAAGCTACCACCCAGCACAACGTCCAAATTCAATTAACACTTGTACAGCAAAACTCTACTTGTAGAAACTCGCATACCCCTGGAATTACCTCTCACAAGACAGTGAAAAGAACCTCGCATCCCGGCCAACAACTTGAGGTTCTCCTCACTGGTGCCTTTTCCATGAGTCGAACGAAAATAAATACTGCCACCAAAATAAAAATAAAAATCCCCCCCAGTTCTATTTCCTAGGTAACACTTTTATTTTCAACGTCCACGAGTTAATAAATAGTCCCATTCCTTTTTCCTTCCACTGGAGTGCAGGTAAAGTGCAGCGGGAAGCACCAAGGAAGCCCTCTCTCTGTCCAGCCTATGGCTTTGTTAGATGCGGAGCTGGTAGCCCACCTCGTTGAGCGTGGCCAGGTCTCCCTTCTTGTCCACCACCGCGGGCCTGCGGGCAAAGGAGGGAAGAGGGCACTGCTCAACAACGGTCTGAACACTGCCACGCAGGAGCTGAGAGCACATGCAGAACCAGGGACAGTTTACTGCAAAGATTTCTCAATTTTTACAAAATTACAAAGTCCTTTGTGATACTTTTTTTAAATTACAAAGTCCTCGCAGAAATCACAGCTAAAGCCTGGGCGGTAAAATGGCAAGTTGGTCATCCAGTGTTTTCCTCCAGCTCCTCAGACACCTGGTTTCCAGCCCTTAACACTTCCTCTTCCCCTCCCACGCCTTTCTCCCTCCTTTCCTCCCTTTAATTGAAGCGAGCCCAGATGGTTCAGCCTCCTCTGGTTATCCCAGAGCTGGGCAGTCACTGGACTAGCAGAATTTTCCTTTCAACAGCTGAAGCAGGGCAGTGTCACGACAACACCCAGACCACAAACGTATTAAAGCCTCAGTATCAGATGAAAAGGAAACAGACCTGACAAACACATTTAGGAGCAGAGACTGCTGCAGGCCGCCATGTGACACTATTTCCCAACCCCGCCACCTCCAAACACCTTACTGAGGATGAAATGGAGCCGTGCCTGCTCCAGCAGGGGCTTTTCGCACGCTTTTCACTGGGTGATTTTTCCTAGCAGGCCCATCCCATTTCATTGGCGACAAGAAGCAGGCTGTAATAACAGCTTGCCATCAGCAGGTGAAGCCTCTCAAACGAACGCGTTATTCAGCCCCTGCCAGCTCGTGCTAGAGCAAAAAAAAAAAAAAAAAAAAAAAAACACTTCTCCCCTCCCCTCCCCTGCATGCTCTAAAAAGCTGTAATTACAGCATGCAAATAAGAGATTCGTGAAGAAACCAAATGCAGCATCAATGAGCGTGGCTGATGTTCAGCTCAGAGTCAGCCTCAAGCCCATCCTTACCCACTGTCCTTCCTCTGTGTGTGACACAAAGGCCTCTCGCTGCAGCTAGGTTCCCAAGGATGCATCGATACACAGCAGAAAACACCCAGTTTCCCCTCTCATCTTTCCCCTCAGCTGAGACTCATCACTGTGCACACATTTTTTTGCAGAGGCAGAGTTGCAGAGGCAGGACTAGTGTAGAAATATGACTGGGAATTATTTTATTGCTAATAAAATAGCATTTTGTTGCAAATTGTATATAAGCTACTGCAAATTTTAAATTTTAATTGGGTAGCTCCTTTCCTCATTTCCCTAATGGAGGGGGGGAGGTGTCTCATGACCATGCCCAAACTTCAGCAAAACTCCATAAATCTGCCTTCGGGTCCTGTTTCCCCCTCGAGCCACGGGGCATTCCACAGCAGCCCTCCGAGTACCCCAGAGGTGATCCCATCCCTCCAAAAGCAGCAAGGAGGTGAAGGAGGAGCAGGGCCTGCCACTGACTATAATTATCCAGGTGCTATACAAGGAGGTTGTGTCGTGCTGATGACGTCCAAAGCCCAGCATCATGGACCCAGTATGAATTCAGGAGTAAAAATAAAAGCCTGCTGCTAAAGTATCTCCAAGTTATCTTTAGCAAGCTAGCCTAACGTCTTTGTTAGCCACTTGAAAATAAATAAATAAGTGCTGAGGCAGGAGCCTGCGAGCCTATTTAAAAAGCAATGATGGCAAATATGTGCCTGATCTGGGTTACGTGTGGGCTTTCACAGCTGTCAGCCTCCTGGCACGACGCAGCACGGCTCAAACCCGACTTCCCAATGTAAGGCACGGGCGGCAGGCTGCATCGCTGGCAGCCGTACAAGGCCCGTGGCCTGGAGGCTCACTTTTCTCCATGTAGAGGCATTGCGTGAGCCTAGCCCATCCTTCAGCACCCAGGTGAAAAGCTGAAGCTGCGACGCACGAAGGAAGTGGTCTGGTTTTTCAACTGATTATAAGCCAAGGAATACAACTGGGAGCAGTATTTCTGCTTCGGCAAGAAAAGGCTCGCTTGTTCCAGTCCCTGTCAGTCCTCAGTGATAACCTCTCTGTAAGCAGCACAACCTGATAATAACGCTCATCCTGGGGAATCCAGCTTGGCAGAGGGACAGTGACAGCAGGGCGCCCACCACCACCAGGAGATGTTCTCCTAGAGGTCTTCTCCTCTTTCTAATGCTTAAGTCTGAACGCCCTTAAACGGGATCAAACTACTTGCCTCTCTGTAAGGCTCTCCTGCACCCCAAACCTAGGTTCATTTCTCCCAAGAGTGCACTGTATAAGAGCTAGAAAAAAGGTGAAAGCCCCACTTGTACTGTCACAGCCCTCTGACACCCTACAGAGCTGAACCAGAGGTCACAGCAGGGCCGTCACAGAAACACCGGGACACCAGCACTCCTGGCTTCTGGAGCCTCTCAGACAACCAAGATGCCTGGTACAGCTTTCCTGTGTGTGTCAGTGAGCGTGCCTCGAGCTCTGTGCTGTACAATAACACATCGTTGCCTTCAGCCTGTGCCCCACGAGTGGTGGCAGCAGCATTGGTGCAGCAATACTCACGATTTGTCCCTCCGGCACGCTCGTCTCTGCGGGCTGGTGGCTTGCCTGCGGCGAGGGGACAACGACTTACCCCGGGACCGCTCTTTCGCTGGAGAATGGGCACTTGAGGGTTTCAGAATCTGCAAGAGATGGGGGAGGGAAGGAAGATGCGTTCAGTGAAGGCAATGATTCACTAAAGAAAAAAAAATAGAATCAAAGGGCCTCAGACAGTAGGGTGGATGGCACACAAAGAGCCCTCAGTCCCCTTGGGTTTATGCAAACCCTGCCCCAGGTTAAGAGGAGCTCAAAGCAGTTATCACGTGGTAGCTGTGCCAGGGCCCCTTGCAAGAATTGGTTGGTGTCAGCAACTCAGTCCCCACTTAAATGTTAAAAAATTAAAAAATAAAAGACATCACAGCTGGGCCCTCTACCAGAAGCACTAAAATCAGCCTGTGACAGCCACCTCCAGGAGCTCTTGGGGTCGGACACATACAAGAGGTGGAGGCTGGGGGTCACCACACGTCTCTCACCCTGCTGAGCTACTCGGCGGGGCAGGAGAGGTGGCAGCGGGACACAGGGGCTGCTGCCAAACGGGCAGACGGATGCCAGCCACGAGCCAGCAGGGCAGGGGCCGGGAACCCAGAATAACTCGGAGGCCGTGCTGCATACCTCTCGGCGAGAGCCAGCCCCATACTTAGCAGCACACCTGCTCGGCTCCTGCTGCCAGCAGAAGGCTGGAAAGGCACCAAATCCCCGCTCGCCGTGGCTGTGTCCAGCTCCTTCCCCGCGCCAGAGGCATGCTCAGGGACACCCCTCATCCCAAAGGGCAGCCAAACCCCACAGCCCCATCTCCCCGCCTTTCCCTCCGGGCTCTTTCAGTCCAACCAGCTGGTGAGGAAGCTCCATCCTGCCAGGGGTTTGCTCCCCTCCTGCCTTTTGAGCCCCCCTGGGGAGCACGACCGACCTCTGTGGGACTGCACAGCCACCTCTGGGACACAGGCAGCCCGGAGGCGAGGACCTACCTTCATTCTCATATCCCTGGCAAACTTCTCCAGCTCCTTCCTGACTTCTGTGCGCATCATTTTGGAGACGTTAAGGACCAGCTGCTTCCACTCGATGGGCTGAAAACTGTGCGGCTCGTGCGGGACGTACAGTCCGATCTTCACCTTTTTGACCGAATGCAAGTACTTTTTATAGGAGTCTTCGAAGTCAAAGATGAGGTCGCTCAGAGTTCGGTACGTCAGAGGTTTGTCCATCAGATCGGAACGTCTGCTCATGCCCAGCGAGCCGTACCGGCCATTGCAGTAAATCCCAAGCACCACGTGATGAAAATAGTTCCCTGAGAAGTGGGTTTTAAAGCTGATGGGGAATCGCTCCACGGAGGGCTGCCCGTTCGTCAGGTATCTGGCATGCGCCGAGTCAAGGCACCAACGGGGTTGAGAAGCGAGCACACAGAGCTACAGCTGGGAGAGACCCAGCAGCGGTAACCACAGGGCCCCCTGCCTGCTTATAAGCACAAATTTACACTCACTGTGCCCCAGAAATAATTGATGCTGCCCAAAGCCCCTTTCAGCACTCAGAGAATAGGATGCAACTGTTCAGGCCGGAAAGGGCCTGACTCAGCCATGCTTGGGGGGAAGAGAAAACAAAACAACAACAGTAATAGCATTCATTTCAGCGTGCTGCATCAGAGACCATCCTCCCAGATCCTTGGGAACTCCTTTATGTGACACCAATACCAAACTCCTCTGTTCCCCAAAGGGAACATCCCTCCCTTTTATGTCGGAGCTCGGTATGACTCAGGCTGTTTACTTATCCTCATTTTCACACATCCCTGCAGCCTTTAAGCAGCACAAAGAGCTCAGAATCCTTTCTGGGGTTGCATTTCTGGCTTGGAATCTAAAGGCTGGCCTTCAGTCTGGCAACTCTGTGTACAAGACCGGCTTTTGCACTCATGACATATTGCTGAGATGATGGAGAGGAAAGCTCCCAGCTTGATAATTATTTTCTCCAAATAAGCACAGATAAATGGCCAGGAGCAAACATTTCTGAAAAGCAAGATTTGTCCCTGGATTGCTGGCTGGCCATTTCACTGGCACCACGTGAAGTGGCCAGGGGCCAAGCCCTGTAACAGCGATGTGTGATCTCAGGCGGGAGCTACGCGCCGGTCCAGGTGGTTTCCTCGGGATGCTGGCGAGGGGAAGAGGAGCGAGATTCCCTCAGGCATGTGGCCGTGCGTCAGAGCCTACGCTGCGTGTGGCTCCCCGCTGCTAATCCCAGACAGCTGACGCTCACCCCAAGGCCTCCCAGTCCCCAGGGACAGCAGGTGCCTTTCCCTCCCTCAGCTGAGACCCCACCAACCCACGCTGGGTCTGACAATGAAATACAGCCGCAGGGTAATTCGGCAGCACCACTGAGATGCCATTGGGACAGCCTGAAGGATGGAGGACTAGCGTCGGTCCCCGCTGGAGCTGCCTGGTATGGAGATCTCCAGCACTCCCCCCCCCCTTGTGCCCCAAAAGCTCTTTAAAGGAGTGAAACAAGAGCCACTGAATGGGCTCCACTGAATCTGAAGTCAAAGGCAAGGAGATCACCTCTGTCCAAAGACAAAAATAAAAAGAATAACTTAACTGCACCAACAGGGAACAAAACCTCCCTTGTGTCTTCGGCTTCTTGCTGGATCTTTGCAGGACTACCTTCACCAAACAAAGCAAATTTTAAGTACACCACAAGGTCAGGATCAGGCCCAGCGCTACCCTAACAACTGCAAAACTCATCCCAGTCACCTCGCCTGAAGGGTCACCTCGCCCCAGGCCTTCCAAGGAGCGTCCTGCGTGCATCAAAGTCACGTTAGAGTAATTTTTGTCCTACAGACAGATTCCTACGGAAGCCCATTGTATTTATCAATCCGTGTGACTGAAAAAGCAGTATCTTTTATTAACACCTATGAAGCTTTCAAACATCGCCACTATTTTTCCCCTTCATTATGAAAGGGTTTTTTTCTCTCTGCTCCCCGAGCGCCTTTCTATTAAGCCCACACAAAGCTTTCGTGGCCACCTGCCACACATACACACTTCCGCCACGAGGCCTTGGAGGAGTTGCAATTTAATCTCATTAAATACTAGGTAGGAGTAAAAGACTCTTTTGAGGCTGGAAATTACCCACCATCAAACAACCCAGCAACAACTGCTGTGGAAATTAACCTTTAGGTACAGGTTGCTTCTGCCGAGTGACTACTTAATGAGAGTCCCCACCCGAGATGAAATACACAGCACACGGGCTGGAAAGGCACGTCAGATCTTCCCCTCCATCCGTCTATCATTGTTATTTCTTTCCCTTTCTGCTCTGCCCGAGTAGAGCTGTATTGTGGCAAACAAAAGGCAAGGACACGCCGATGCCACAGCCGTCATCGCATTTCTGAGCCGGGACTGCAACTGCGGGACTGAGTCAGGGAGTAAATTATGTGCCACAGCGCTAACACCAAGCACAGGGGGAGAGGGCAGCGAAAACCTCGGTGCCCTCCAGATCCCAGGCCCTGGTGTGGATCCCACGGCCCAGCCCGCAAGGCCACACAGCCCAGAAGTGGCACTGAGAGACACTGATCCCCTCAGAGATGACCAGGAGGGCCTTTCTCAGAGGGATGAGCTCTGCTCGCACACCCCCGGAGGCCGGCTGGGCATTTGGCTCCAAGCAGCGAGGGCAGAGCTTTGCCTGAAGCACACAGCATGCTCTGGGGCGAGGCCGCTGGCGTTACCCAGCACGGCTCTGGTAACACGCAGGATCTTTCCTCATGCCGGCTCGGGGCTTTGAACGTGGACATTTCTGGAGACAGGCCCTAGCAGCTGACAGGGCTGATGCGCTGGCAGCTGCTTTCTGTGGGAGCTGGGCTCGGGTTGCTCACTGCCAGGCCTCCCACAGCCGTGAGGAAACGCAGCCAGCACAGCAGGGGGACACAGGGCAAGGGCGCCAGCCCTTCAGGAGGAGCGAGTGTCACTGCATCACAAGACACCAACGTCAGAGGTGCTCAGGCCCCAAAAGCAGGCCAGGGGAGCCGGGCCGCTGACTGGACACAGTGCTCCATGGCACTTGGACACAGACTGGCAGAGACACCCAGGGGACACAGGCATGGGGAGCAGCCCTGAGGGCTTGTCCTTTGAGCTCTGAACGAGGGGGAGAAAACTCAGTAAGTCAGTGCAAAGTGGTGTTGCAGAGCCCCCAGCATCTCAAAACAAATTGGTATATCCTCCCTTTTCAGAAAGAAACCCCATGGATGGGTCGAGCAGACCTGCCAGCCAGCGCCGATGCCCTAGGGGGTGTAAGCGCCCAGCTCTCCCAGTAGCCAGGCTCACAAGTGCTGCAGGAACACCCAGCATCACTCCTGACGCTCACTGGGGATGCAGGTAGCTGTCCCCGCTACAATTTCCACTCTGCATGGCAAACCAGAGGTGAAAACAGACCATCTGCTCAATCTAATATTGACCAGAGGAATCCGCATTGTGCCGCTAATCAGTGCTTGAAATCCTCCCTACTTAACTTGGACAAGATGATGTTGTAGTGCTGTGTGTCTCACAGAGCCCACCCAGTAGGACCTTTTCACTCAACTTTGGTTAAAATGAGCACAGAAAACCACAGGGTTTCTGGTCCCCACCTCTCGTGGTGCTCCCTGAACTAGGGAAGGGTGAGAGGACCCCAGGCCCTTGCAGGCCGCCCCATGAGGCGCTCCACACACCCTTCAGAGGACAAGAGGAGAAAGGAGGCAGCTGTATTTAGGCTTGCAACACCAAAGCTGCTAGCTTAGAGCGAGGAGGTTGAACAGGAAGAAAGCAAACATCACACTTAACACATCAGATATGGCTTCAGCAAGCAGAGAGGAGCTGTTTCTGAGAACAGCTAAACAACTGCTAGCAATGTCAGAGGGCATCCAACTGCCAGAGCCAAGCACCCGGGGAAGCTTCACACCACATCCTGGAGCCAGACAGCATTTTTCACAAGCTCCAGCAGCTCTGAGATCCCAGGTTTGGGACTGCTGATGGCAAGGCAGGGCGCTACACCAAGCCCACAGCTGGATGGGATGAGCTACCAGAGGGGCAGCAGCTACTCAGCAGGACTCTCCTGGTCCATATGTCAGTTCGTGAGCAGGTCAAGCTATAGACAAGCTGGCAGGAAGCAAAGAGAGGACATCAATATTCCAGCCATCCTGCAGTGACCGCAGAAAAACTCTGCCCCTTCCCGAAGGGGCTCACGCCTAGCCCAGGAATTTGCCTGCTGGGCAGGAAGAACAGGATGGGCCCAGGACTCCAGCAGCAATAAACATCACCCACTGATTAAATGTGCAGAAGACCTAGTGCAGAAGCTATTAAATTATCTCTCCTCCTGAGACACTTCTGCTCTCCCCTTCCTCATTTAATGATGTTACTGGGCAGGGGGAGGTCTAATAAATACACTTTACGGGTCTGACTGTTACCTCGCACGAACCAGGACAGGTGCACAGCAGTCAATGGGAGCGAGTTATATTCATCTGTCACAGACAGCACTGCAAGATCCCCTGAGGAGCCGTGCTTCCCTCTTACCCCCTGATATTTTGTTCTCTGCGTTTTAATAAAGAATACAGCACGGATAAAATTCCCCTGGCACCTTTCAGTTTACTGCTCCCTTTCTTGAGCACAAGGAGTTTCGATCGGCGCTCGTAATGGATGCGGCGAACGCATCATTACCCGGCTGATTTACAGCCCAACCGAGAAAATACCCTGGGGATGGCAGCAGGAGGAATGCCTCCGGTTAGGCGCTGATGAGCAGGCCACGGAAGCAGCAGGATATGGAGCCAGTTCAGCCACGCAGAGCAGAGCAGGAGATCCGTGCAGAGGGCTGCAATCAACGTCACACCGTAGGATCTGTGTGAGGTTTTGGTAACCTCACAGCAGCTGCTCCCTCGGTGCATGCAGGCAGGGTCGCCCGGTATTTAACTCACTGCCAGATAAAAATGCTTCAAGATCCAGCATGAAGGCAATTATGCAAAACTTAATTCTGTAGCAAGAGGGATTACCCAAGTGTTTTATAAGAAGTCGGGCTGCAGAGGGCAATTGCAGGAGCCAGCAAGCTGCTCAATTAAAGTGACATCTTGCTAAGCTGCTCTGTACGAGGCAGCCTTTGAATGAAGGCTCATGCCGAGGGCCCACCCAACACAGCTTTGCTCTTCCCAGTATCCAAGCAACACGGCAAAGCCTGCCAGCACACAAATTGCAAGCAGAACCTTATTTCTGGGGACAGAGAAGGGAGCCAGAGGTTACCACACACGCACGGATGCTCAGCTCAGGCACATGCAATGGCCTTGGCTGCCCAACCTTGGAAAGCAAATCACAGCTGCTGGCCTCACCGTGTCCGCATCTGGAGGCTGATGCTGAAGATCAAAATCTCATGGCTAAGAAAGGAAAAAAAAAAAATCAACCAGCTGAACATCATGCTGTTACAAAGATAACCACCCCAGCAGGTGGCCTCTGTTCCTACACAGCAGGCTTCCAAGACAGCAAAGTAGTCACGGAAAAAGACAAGCCTGTCCCATTCTCTCCCCTTCCTAAGGCTTCTTAGGAGGTAATCTCAATTAAAAGTTCTCCATAAACATTTTTGAAAGTACTGTGCAGAAAAAAAAAATATCCATCCAAAGCTTAAAAAAAATCAAAAGAAATTTCAGACACCACTGAAGAGTATAAATCCAGAACCTTCAACTATTTTGCCCCCAAAAAATCCTGAAGTCAGCCTTGAGACAGGCAGAAGAAAACCTTTCCTGAGAAAGCTTTTTTTTTTTTTCCCCAAATAAAAATAAAATGGTCAAAACTTATTAAACCAACCAGAGTACTCTTAGGTTAAAGGCCATCTGTAGGCAGCAGATTTCAGGGGGAAGCTCTCAGAAAGCTCCTCACAAGCCCCAGCAGCTGCCCCCTCACATCAGCCAACACAGGGCACTACGCACAGGCTCTGCTGGTTTCTGCTGCCACGAGAGGGGGCAGCAGCAGCAAGCGAAACACAGCAGAGACATTCGAGGAGCTGTTCTGCTTTTGAGTTTATTTTGGGTTTGGTTTTCTTTGTCTTAAATCAAACTTGATCAGCTGCTGTGAGGCATACCCCAGTAGAAAACTATTCCTGTAGTCCTGCCTTGTCCTTCTCTGGTGTTTTGGGATGATGCAAGTTAGTTTATTTACCAGTAAGAGCACAAAAGGATTAAGAAGCAAGCCCATCTCTAAATAGAAAGCATTCTTTTCTGGATTTGAGTATGAAATAAGCATTTAAGCTTTACCTTAATGCAATGGTTAATTATACTATGCACTTTTCTGCACTAAGTACAACTGCAGAGAAAAAAATCACAACATGACTTTGCTATGTAAACATTAGACAAATGTAGCACAGAACCTACATTTGTCAGGTGTTAACAAGCTCCAACAATAGCTGGCAAAAAAAAAAAAAAGAAAAAAGACTAAAGAAGAAAGCAAGGATTGCACAGACAGCTACTTATCTGGGCGCTTTGGGTCAGCTCCTGACATTATGCAGATTACCTGGGCAGAAGGCAAAGTGGGGATAACGCCAGCTGACCCTTCTGAACCGTGCACGCAGCCTCTGAGCTCCTCCTGACACACCTAGGCACCTCAGCAACGTGTTGGTCAATCCCATGGAAAGTCTCTGAGCTGCTTGCACTCACCTGTGGCTGTGAGCATCTCAAACATCATCCAGGGAGGGCAATACGTTCAACAGTGCTGCAGTGGAAAAAGCCACAGGCACACAAAAGGATACATCCCCAGGATAACCGCTTCAAGGCATTTGATAGGAAGGGACTCCCTGGTCATTTCTCTTGCTGTCTCCATTAACCTGGTACAGAAACAAGAGGGTTTTAGTCTTTTCAGTTGGAACAAAGGATTCTCTTGTACTCTGAGAGGTAGACACCTCCAACTTTCATCTCAGCAAGTGCTGGTGAACTTGATTCTCCTCTTCAGCCATTGCCGGAGCCCTCTTAATTTCTGCAGGATGACTGAAAAAATAAACGGGTGTTTGGTATCCCAGCGCCTTCCATGCCTCTGCAGATGGCTTGGAGAAATGCAGTTCTCGCTGCCTCTCCCAGCAAGGCCCTGAGCATCGCTCTGGACTGCGACACAAAGCCCTGCTGAGCTGCAAGATGGCAATCATGTAAGCTCCCACAGCATGACCAAATTTAGCTGAGTTCTCAAAATATGCAGCTCTCTTCTGTTAAAAAAAAAAAAAAAAAAGAGGATATAGGAATTTTGTGATATCCCTTGAAAGCTACAAATGCCCATTTGAGCTAATGCCTATAGGTGCAGGCAGGAATTTAATGTATTTTTATCCAAGCCTGCTGTGCAGAAAGCTCTGTCAGCACAGGCATTTCAAGCTGAGTTACCATCTTGCCGCTCCTCTCCATCTCCTGTGGACTGTAAGAAACGCAGGATTTCCTACAGGAATGCAGCAAACTATGCATCCCCAAGACCTTGGCAAGTCCACAGAATTTAGTGGAATCTGGATTCTGTCTCTGGAGCAGCCTCATCTGACGGGGACAACGCTGTGACAAGAAGCAAGCGATCTGATCTCAGCTGAGGTCAGCCCGATACTGCACCATCAACAAGGGACCCTACCCTATTCTGCCAGCAGATCCCCAAATCCTGTAGAGTTTTTAAAAAATTACAGGAAGGAGACAAAGAGAGGTAAAATATTCAGAAAAAAAAAAAAAAGCCCAAACAAAGGACGACTTCTATTTTGAAGCCTCCTCTAACCCTATTCTTTCCCTGAGGAGAGCTTTTCAGTAGAGATCCCGGCTCTCGAGGAAACACGACATTAAAAGATAGAAATATTTGTACTAGAGAAGATGACTAATGGCTCAAGATGCATATTTTCATCTGTTTTCCCCCTTCCCAACGCACACATCCCATGCATTTCAAACCCCGCACGCAGCGCGAGCGGCGGCGCAGCCCCCAGTGTTATTACTGCCTGTCACAGTGATTCCGCACCCAATTCATCCGAGCTGGAAATTATCTCTTCTTTTGTAAACAGCTGCTCTTTACACTCTGCCTGCCACACAGAAGATGAATTAGAGCCAGCCTGCCTCCTACATGCCCACCATCAGTGAGAAAAGCCTCACCGCTGGAGCAAGAAGCAGCAGCCCCGGGGAGGGCACACCAAGGGGCTCCTCAGAGCTGGCTGGGCAGAAGCTGCTGCAGAGCCTCCTCCCCGCCAGCACCAGAAGTGTGTGCAGCACAGGATGCATCCACAAACAAGACGATCCACTCAATTTCCAAACCTCTTTCCCTGCTCACACTGGGCTTGGAGTAACCGCGGCATCACGGCAAGCAGCATCAGGTCCCCCAGCGCCCGCCTGCACGAGCTCGCTGCTGCCATAAAGCCAAGGTGCTGTCAGCGTGGATAAAACAGCAGCGACTTCACAGCCAGGGAGGGAGCCTTCAAAGTAATCGGCCTAAGCGAGCAGCCAAATTAGTACCAACTCATCTGTCGCAGCGACACTCGCGGTATTTAAATACTCAGTTGTATTTAACGCGGGCTCTGCCTGCGCTGGGTTTTGAAGTACAGCTTTGTGAGATGCTCCGTGGTTATTAAGGCAGATTTAAATTGAACACGAGAGGCATTTTGCTTGCTTAGAAGTCCTACTGATGCACAGCAGCCGCTCCCTCTGAGGCCAGCAACAGCTCTCCTTTACTTTACATCTCATCACAGGGTAATTGGAGCTTGGACGGGACCGCAGGAGGCCCTCCTGTCCAGCATCCAAGCATGAGGAAGCAGGAATCACAGCCGTCCCTGGAAGGAGGGACTGGAAGGGAAGGCCAGGGCCAGGTGTAGGCTGGGAGGCCCAGGGGGCCACCCTCCTCAGCCCCCTGCAGCTGCCCAGATCTGGCCACGGCACCCCGCAGCTCTCCTAACTCAGGGGCTCAACCAGCCTCGCTCCGGGGACCATGCCATGGAGCAAGAGGTGCTCAGTGCTGATGGACACAGAAACAGAGCTGGCTGGGGGCTAAGCCAAGCCCTGAGGACGTGTGCATCCAGCCACCCCACCCTTGCACACCCCCACAAGCCCTGCACGTACTCCAGAGTCCCGGGGAACACCCAGCAAACACTTTTTTCCTTCGCTTTTCCAACACAGGCCACGGAGGTTATCTGCATGACTCAGCTCAATAACCACGAGAGCCTTCCTGCTGCTCCTAACAAGCTCGAGTCAAACCGCAGCCTCAGAAACTGCATTTGCATCGGGACCAGGGCCTTCAGAGCATCCCTAAGCCACCGAGGTAGCATAAGCCAAATCTAAATCACTCCTCGCCGATAATTTTCCAACCTACTTTTAACTGGCTTCTCAAAGGCTTGCAAAGCTACCACTAAATCTATCCGATACTTAACCTCACATCTAAGAAGGTCCCCTCGTGTTCAAACTAAATCTTTATTTTCGCAATTTAAATCAGAAGCTATTTCTGCTATCCACAGGGGCAGGAGACCATTTATTATCTCTCCTCTTGCAACACACATTTGTGTATGCAGAAGGCTGTAATCTGCCCTCTCTGCAAACATAGGAAAAAACAGGGGTTGGTTTTGTTTTAAATAAACCCCTCTCCCCCTCAAGCTTTCCCACAGGTCACGCTTTCCAGGCCTGGGGCAATGTTTGTTGCTTTTTTCCTTTCAGACTCTCTTCAACTGACTCGCACACGACCCTTCACCTGAGCTCACCACACCAGTGCAAACACTGTCTACCTTCTGAATCCAACTTTGCGTGTATTTTTGCAACCAAACCAGCACGCTGTTAACTCCCAGACCACCTCTCTTGCTCTCCAAGATCACTCCAAAGCCTAATTCCACCTTGCAAAGCCTCATCCAGCTTGGGGCACAAAGCACAGGAGTAAACAGCCGTATCTGTGCCATTAATGAAAAAAACATTGAACTGGGATAGATACTGCAAACCTCAACTGCTCTGCTAGACCAGGAACGAGATGTTGGTTAGTAACACTTTCCAGGCCCAGCTTTTCACCAGGCAGTGTCCTTATGTCCCAAGAGTTTCATTTAGACTGGATGTCTCGGCCTTATCTGGAGGCTGCCAAAGGCCAGACTGAAGCGAAGAGTTATCCCTTCCACACAAGGGCTCCGATGCTCTCACAGAGGGGAACTATCAGAAACAAACCACATCAGATTAAATTCACGTTGCTTGTTACTTACCACCTTATTACGTTCCAAACACTTGATTATTTGCTCAAGCATTTCTCCTGAAATTGCAGATAAATTGGAAGTTCCTAGACCTCCTTCCCACCCACACCCCTTTTCTTCCCTCCTCCAAGGAGGCTGCTACCTTTGCTGTCCTGCTTCCAACGTAAGCACCCATCCTGCCCACGTTCTCCACCTGAAGCAGAAATGGTTTGGAGGCTGCTTGTCAGCTAAGTCACCTGGAACTAACTCCATTGCACCCGGCTCACTTGAACAGTGACTCATTACAAGTGCTCTCTGCCTTGGCTTCACCTGATTTCACTCCTGAACTGTTACCACACTCAGGTATCAATTGTGACCAGAAAGGCTACATAAACATGTTAATGAAGGAAGGGGGAAAAAAAATAAAAAGAAACAGCATCAGGCTCTTCGATTGCCTTTCTGAGCAGGGTTTGTTTGTGGGATTTGTATTTAAGTCCTTCCAGTCATCTGAACAGGTTCCACATTACTGCTCCATCTCACCTGATGGGTAGCTGGGAACTAACGCAATGAGGCCCATGAAACTCCCTCTCCTTAATTTTTCAGAGGCTCCTGGCAGCTTTATTCTTCCCAAACGAAGCAGAAAGAGACATGAAACCTCCAGGTTCCAGGCTGCAATTCCTCAAATTCCTCCTCTACACGCCTGCCCTTTGCCTGCCCCATAGGAAAGCACACATCACAAAGCCAACAACACCACACGCGGATTTCAGGATCACATCTCTACCACCCTGACCTACAGAGCCATACCAGCAGAAACCTAGCATTTTCCGAAGTGTTACCTGTAGCCTAGACAGGATGTCTGGCAGCCTAGATGCCAGCTGATAGCTAACCAACTTTTTCCCCAAGAGATTTTTAATACTGACTTATGTCAAGCTCGTGTCACCTGATGCTGCGAGTTCCTTAATGCCATGAGTTCCTATAAGCAGTTTATGCTCTCCTTCCTAAGCCCAGCCACGCATCTTTATTTGCATGCACGATGCCACCGCTGACAGTAAATCTCCATAATATCTAGCCCGCCCTCCATAACAGAAATGCTCATTAATATGCTTCAGGAAACTTTCGCATGAATTCATAAATATTAATTGTTTCCACCTAGTGTTCAACTTCTTTGTGTCCAGCTTTCAGGAAGACAGGCTGCCAAAGGCCTTGTAACACTGCCACTAGCCCAAGCCTTCACGACATGAAATAAACACGCTTCGCACCCATAAATCACGGCTCTGGGAACAGCCTCAACTTCCAGGAGTCGGTGGGAGCCAACAGCACACAGCACCTTGCCAGATCAACTTGCAAACACAAGCTTTGCTTTGCCAGCAGGCTCCTGCATTAGCTCACCAGCGAGCAGGGGATCCTGCACGCCAGGGGCGATGCACAGCGAGAGGGGAGCTGGGCACCGGGTTTGGAGGGACATCAGCAATCCCGGTGTGGCTCTCCCCTCATCTGAGGCAAGGAACAGTGCTCCTGCCTCCTGCCCCACACATCTCCTGCCCCTCAGCAGCGAGCGAGGCTGCTCACACCACAGCAGCCTCCTCAAAGCACCGCTTGTT